GAAGCAAGGTTGTACAAGACAAGAGGGAAGAAAAGAACATAATACAAGCATAAGCGCCGAAGATGAATCATGGAACGCCTGCGCCATGTCTTCAAAAGTGTACAAAGTAGAGTGGAGAAGCAGTCAGCCCGATCAACGGTAATTTCAGTGTTGACGCGAAGCCTGTGCAGCCTGTTCACGAACAGAGGCGCCGCTAGCCCTCCACCAGACATCACCGCCCCATCGCATTAGTCGTTCAACAGCGGCTGTGGGCGAATCCAATGCGGGACGGATGTCGAGGTAGAAGACGGGCTCTCCGGTGGGTTCGGGCTCGCCGGAGTAGTAGTCGATCACGTAGCGAACTTCCTTGGGGCCAGCAGGAGTTTGGCGGATGACATACCAGTCGTGACGGTCGAATGGGGGTTTCGTCCTGTTGAGATTGAAGTCAGTCTCTGCCTCATGAATTTGCATGGATATTGGAATTGCTTACTCAAATTTGCTTGGGTACGCCCAACCAAGGGCCTGGAAGATCTGCGCCTTGGGAGTCAATTCTTTCGGCCGACCCTGGAATCGGAGCAGACGAGGCTCGGAAGACTGATCGATTTTACCAGTCATTTCATCGTGGTACAAGTCAAAGCTCAGGTTTTCCTCGCCGCGTCGGCACCTTTCCCATCCAGCCATGAGACCCTTGGCAAACACGCGCTCCCATCCGACGATCTCGTTCCAGGCGCCTTCATTCAGGAAATTGTGAACCGCAACCATCGACTCGACAGCATCCTGGGGAGTGTCGGTATGTCCTTTGCGCAGCATCGCATTGTACATTTGTTGGGGAGACGGGTACTCCCAGTTCCCTTCCGCGTCACCCCTAGGAATAGAAGAGGGCTCACGGTCAACAGGGAGGTCGACAGTCTGGTTCTCAGCGCGCTCTTGGGAGATGGACGCGAACATATAGTTCATGGGGTTCAGTCGCGACAAGGTAGAGGACTTGGCCGGGGTCGGCGCGGGTGGCTGCGGCGTTTGCGCGGAGGATGATTTCGGTGGTGTATAGAATGGCGAGTCGGCGGATTTCATCGGGCAGGCATCGGGAAGTTCAGCGCGCACTGGCGCTGCTCCAGACTCGTGCATCGGGCATCCCGGCTGCAGACACGGGTCAGTCTATATAATCCAAGTATAGTTTGCACGGGAGACGGACTGGAGGAGCGGCACCTGAGGATCCATGCGGAGCCGGTGGTGTAGGAACCTTTGGAGAATCTGCCCAAAACCAACCCATTTTGTAAAATTTCTTGTTGTAGAGAAGATGAGAAATCGCCTTCACGCGATAAAAGATGGAGCAGGCGGACTTTTTTCTGATGACATAAAGGTCCACGTGATAGACCTAGCCCAAAGCGGTGAAGTTTAAACACATCTCTAGCGCAAAGTTATAAGTTATCGCCTTAGAGTCTCCAGACGGTGTGTATAACAACGAGCGAATACAGTTTCTTAGGCAAATCCTATCCTATTACTATGGCTGATATTTAAGCATTTTTGTAGTCCACTTTTCAGGCCATTTGAAAGCGATGCTAAAATATCTAACACATAGTTTTATAGCTAGTTAGGGACTATTAGTAGTATTAAGCACGACAGTACAGCGATGTGAAGTCAATTATATAGCCATTATTGTTTCTAGAGGTCAAGATTGAATAGCGGTGCTCTGCACCTCCCGATGTCTTATGAAATGGGGTTATGTCTTATGAATTGGGGTTAAATTGGTTTATAAGCGATGTAAGAATGGTATGAATTCGCAATAAGTTAAGTCTACTATCACATGTTTACAAAAAGTTAATGCCAATCCCCAGCTGCAACCCTTTGCGGCCTTCTTCGCCTTTTCTCAACACTAGAGGCAAGGAGAAGTTGAGCTCGAACCGAGCAACAGGGTGTGCATAGACAATACCAAAGCCAGCTGCAATGCTGGGCAGGCCATTTTGTAATTCAGACAATGTGGAGATCATGGCATCTTGCACCTCACCATTGGTAGTGGGAGTGGCCTTTTGGGATGTTCGCAGAGGCAACAGACGACCACCGTTCAGGAAAGCCTGGAAGCGCACAGGCTTCTCAGCACCAAGTCGAGGAAGAGGGAACAGCAAGTTGGCGCTTCCGGCAGCGTAGACATCGCCGCCTAGGGAGTCGGCTCCCTCACGGGGGCCGAGACCGCAGAGACGGAATCCACGAACATCGGTAGGTCCTCCGAGGAGGAAGCGGTCATTAACACGGGAAAGCTGGGGGCGAGAGTTGGAGTCCAGTCCGAGGGGGTAGAGAAGACCGGCACGGAACCCAGTGGTAAAGCTGACACCGCTATCACCTTTGATGCCGGGGACGGGGATAGGGATAGCACCCTGAGTTTCAATCTCCGACTTCCAGAAAGAGACATCACCCTTCAGAGGGCCAATGCCGGCAACTTCATTAAAGGCCTTGGCGTAGTAACCGCGAGATGGCAAGAGGGCATTATCACGCTGGTCATTGACCCAGCTGTGGAAGATGCTACTCTTCACGCTGTCACCCGCATCTGCGCGGACGGTAGGGGAGGCACTCTCTGCAAGGCCAGTAAGCTGTCTCCAGAAACCATTGTAGCCCAACTCGTGGCGGTGTCCAGATTTGCTGATCCATCGGAGCTTGCTCCAGCCGCCCTTGACGACCTCTTCGTGGCTAGCCCAAGACTTTTGAGTAGAGCTTGCAATGCCACCAACTTCCAGGCGGAAATCAGGGTCACCCAAGATTGGAGTCTCGAACGCAGCCTGGTAAGCGGACCGCGTGCGAGTACCGAGCGAAGCATTCAAGTTCAGAGTCTCAGCGCCACCGAAGACATTGCGCCAGAGAAGGTTTCCGTACGCTGAGCCCTCGGCATTGCCAAGGTCAGTTCCGGTCTTCAGTAGCACGCGGGACTTCTCCCGGGTGGCCAAGTAGACATCGATGTTGCGCATGCCATTGTGGCCCTGTGACTCATCCAAGTATACGGAAATAGGCTGGTGGAACAGATCTTTGTAATTGTTAGCGAGTACCCCACCAATACCATGATTTTTTTCGAAGACCCATACCAAACCGACCAAGCTTATCAGCTGTAGCCGACACCTCCCGCAACGCCTCCGACAGTGTATAAGGGCGACCCTTGTTCTCGCTCAAAAGCGGGCTCAGGCTGCGCTCTAGGAAGCTGCGACGAGTGTGAGGAGCACTTGTCACTTGGACCGAGGAGATTGTACAGGGCAATGTTGAGTTTTCGTCGATCTAGATGTCGAATTCACAATCAGCCGGGGGCTCCGCAGGCAAGCAAACGCAGATTGACAGCTATATTCTGCTTCCAGGGGTTGGGAAACACACCAATTCTGCAAGTCTGCTCTGCGCTTTTTGGTAAATAGCTTGCATACGCTCATTCACGGCATTTTGTTGCTCTTCCAGCACCTTGGGGTCTGCGCGCTGTTGTAGACGCTCGAAGACCTAAGTAAAGGTCAGTAATGATGCGACATGGCAAACACAGTCTGTCCCTATATACTCACGCTCTCATCTCCGGCAGCAAATGAGGAAGACATTATTGCGCCGAATGGCTAGAACCTCCTCCGGGGAAGCATTTCGGAGTTCGCGTGCCGAATCCGCGAAGATACGGGTGGGTAGGCACGTGACCCAACGGCACGGCCGTGCCTTATGCGATGGACCATCACTCTCCAACTCTCTTTTGACATCTTACTCCCTCTTCTGTTATTGCTTTACTCTCGGGTCAGACCTTTTTGTCTTTGTCGTTTTTCACGTTTTTAATATTCTCCTTCGAAGATGGCAACAAAAGCAGCCTTCAAACGGGTAAGTGGCGAGCTGTCGCAGACCTATAGCATCTGCCCAATATTGGTCTAACAATACTACAGCTCACCCGTGAATATCAAAACATTCAAAAGGAGCCTACACCATTTATTGTCACTCATCCCTCTGAGCAAAACATCCTTGAGTGAGTTGACTTACTCTCCCCGCATTGCAGTGCGGAAATCTGACTTATCTGATATAGATGGCATTATGTCCTCACCGGACCTCCCGGGACCCCTTATGAGAAGGGACAATACTGGGGCACATTAATATTCCCTCCCGAATACCCATTCGCACCTCCCGCCATCCGCATGCACACACCCAGTGGCCGATTCCAGCCTTCCACTCGACTGTGTCTCAGTATCAGCGACTTCCACCCCAAATCCTTCAACCCCGCCTGGGAAGTCTCCACCATTCTCATCGGATTACTCTCTTTCATGACCAGCGAAGAAATGACCACAGGAAGTGTTTCTGCTTCAGAGAGCGAACGGAGAGTGCTTGCAGCGCGATCGCGGTGGTGGAATTCAACCGGAGGTGGCTCTCACATCAGCGCCACCGCTGGTGTCACTCGAACCGCCAAGGGAATCAACAATGTCAAGGCAGGAGACGGTGGTCTAAAATTCCGCACAGAATGGCCCGAACTAGATCAGGAGAACTGGGCTTGGATGAAAGAACATCGCATCGACACCAGTACCGGCCAGATCTTACCCGACCCCGATGCGCCCATCAAATGTTCGCCTGATACGAGTGCCCTGCGCAGACGACCTAACGGAAGTGTTCCCGCATTTGGTGGCGTTATGGAAGGAGGGAATGTTGCGCGAGAGGCAGGTCAAGGCTGGGTTCGACAACACCGAGTTTGGATCGGCGTGGCCCTCTTCTTTGGCTATGCCCTGATCTCCCGACTACTGAGTGATATGCGTGCTTGAGAGGCTATAGAATACCTTCTGTCTTTTAGCGGGATTTGCATGGCAAGGAGTTTAGAGAATGCAATGCATGTCTGACATGTTACACCGTTGACCACCAGATCATCCCAGGCGATTAGCGCTGAATTGGGCTTGTGCTCACCCCGCGTTGGCAATGTCACTACTTCATTTCTCTTCTAAATCCGCCGTCCCCCACTGCATAGTCTCTATCCACTTCTTTATTGGGTCTGTCCCTGTTTTGCCTCTATTCCTTTGCATTCCGAAGCCTTGGCCGGGATGGACCATCTGCAGCCGTTCACCTTTGGTCCCCGTTTCCAGTCAGGTCAGTGCTTGTGCCAGTTGCAGACTGCAGGGGAGCCCTGGTTCCCAAACTCTGTTCATGAGATGCTTCTTTCAGGGCTTCCTTTGGCTCCCGTTTGTCTATTGTCATGGTTGCACCAAGGGGATCGGTCCGAGTGGTTCTTGTACTAAATCCCCGTCCAGAGCCCAAGATGAAACCTGCGCCGCTTGATCGGCCTTCGTTTACGTTCATCGATCACGATGATGATCTGACCTCCAAGAGGATCAAAGATGTCAATGCTCGCAAAGCCATTCGCTCTCATGTCATGCGCGATGTGCGCCGGCGTGAGAGGCTTGCAGGATTGAAACGAACCTCCAGACGTGCTCAACATGATGCTCCAAAGGTTGCCGAGGACGAGGACGAGCAAAGATTGGTGGTAAGGGCTCAGTCGCAGTCATCTGCCTATTCTTCAATCCTAGACTCAGACAGTCTCAACTATCCTTTGTATCCAAGAGGACGTCCAGCGAGATGGTCTGCTGGTTATCCTTTGCCACTCCACTCAAATCCAAACCCACCCACCTCATGGTTCCTCGATCCGTTCTCTACCTTACCAGGCACCAGTGAGCTTCCTTTGATGGTTGCCCACTTGGTGTACTACTGTGAGTCGTGCCATCTCCTCGACTTTCTAGAGTTCTGGCATTTCCATCTTTCAAACTCCATGGGCCTCCCAGGAATGGAGCTGACTGCAGGGTGAAGGGAAAACCGTATTTGTCCCCATGACATTTCCCAACACGGGCAAAAGTTCAACACAAGAGATGGAGCTAATGGTGCGGTCCTCATTCTCGGATAAGGGCAGCTTCTTTGGGTTAATGAGCATGTGCGCTGCACATCGAGCCGTTCTCGCGAGCCAGCATACGTGTATAATCAACTCAGACAGCCGAAATCAGGCACTCGACCCTGATTATTGTATGATGAGGGCAAAATCTATTGGAGAAATGAATGCGAAGATGCAAGATGCGAATCGCAGACTCAGTGACGAGGCATTTGATACCATCATCAACCTTCTAACTGGCGCGGTATGACTTGACACTTGAACTCCATTTTGCCGCCCTTCTAACGATCAACAGCTTATCATCGGCGAGTTTGAAGAAGCTCATATTCACCTCAAAGGACTTAAGCGTATGGTTGAGCTGCGAGGTGGAATAACAGATGACAGCATTCGTTCGTCTTCAATGTTGTCTGCTATCATTACGTGCGTTGCTCCAGCCTACCCTCCTACTACCCCATGCTCACTTTTAGGATATTAGCACCGACATCAAAGCAGCGTCCGGATTAATGACCAAGCCTGTCTTTCCCTTGACTTGGGATGCCCAGCCCATTCCTTCAGATATCCAGCAGCGCATTATGCCACAAGCTTTGTCCCCTCTCAATAATCTCGGATCGGGGTTTTTCGCCAATTCCTTTATCAGTCCCTCCTTGCAACGAATTTTATATGTGCTACGGGATATGCTTTTCTTTAGCATCATGAATCAGATGACACCTGCGGCTATTCAACCCATTGATCAGGACTTTTTCCGAGTCCTTAACTGCGAAGCAGAGCATCAACTGCTCAGCTATATATATGCAGATGACTCTCCCAATCCGCTGTTGAAGCTTCATCCTATTGAAGCCGTCACTAGAGTGGCTTCTATCTGTTTCCTTAATCATTTTATGATTGTTTCGCCTTCATCCTCTGGCCTGGGCCGAGCCCTTACCAAACACCTCACGACGGCAGTGGAGACTTGCAAACTATCTTTTCTACAGGAGCTACCGAAGGAAAACTTCGGTCTATATACTTGGGCACTCTTCGTCGGAGCTCAAGGGTCTCAAGGCCAGGCTGAACGAGCCTGGTTTGTGGGGCGTCTGGCCCACGTTGCAATGATCTGTGTGTGGCAGTCGTGGGAACAAGTCTCAAAAGTAATGGCCAATTATTTCTTTGTTATGACGTTGGATGGCTTGAGCTGGCGATCTATCTGGGACGAAGCAATGACTGGGTTTGTGATCTCTGAGGCGGACGAAATGGAGTGTCTTTTTGAACGAGATGCACCCACCAATTAGCTCTCGATGTGAGCCTCTGTATATTTCTTACGGCAGTGCCAGTCTAGTAATAATAATCAAAACCCACCAAAATGGGAGAAATACTTGTTGTTGAGCTATGTACATTTATTAAACTATATATATTGACAACGAACTTTTTTTATAAAAGAGGCCAAAGAGGAAGCCAGTAGGAGAGAATGAGCCTAAAAACAATCAAAAAGAGATTCCTTATTCAGAAAGAGACTGTTTAGTCCGTTTGATGGTTTTATACTTCAGGCCCCGAGCCGGCGCTTAGTAATCACCATTGAGGCCATTTGGAGCTCCGAAGCTCCAACAATCCAAACCCTCACTCAAGAACACCACAAGCAAATCCCACGCCAAATCGAATTCCGCGACCTTTCACCACTCTATCCGCCGTCCGTCGCGGCAATGGCCCAATACTACCCCCAACAACAAGGCTACGCCCCCCAAGGCTCCGCACAGAATCTCCAGTTCTTCCCCTCGTCCTACTCCTCAGTCTCCGGCCACACAACCCCATCACAAGCATCCTATGGCGGCGGCTTCGGTGGCGCTCCCAATCCCTCAGCGCAGGCCTTCCCCGCCGCTGCTGGTTATGGCGGCTTTGGATCCCCGGCTGCGGGCGTTAGTGGACGGATGGGGGAACAGGGCGGCTTGAGGACGGGTTGGTTGGCTGCGTTTGGGACGGAGGGGTACGATGGCGAGCCGCCATTGCTTGAGGAATTGGGTGTTAACTTCGAGCATATTCGCACGAAGGTTAGTTGTGTCTTTGGTCGTTGTTTGGAGGGTATTCGTTCAGGAGACGTGGGGTGGCTTGTTTACCCCGGGTTTTTTGGTTCGATTGGGTTATGGCTTGTCTTGGGATAGGATGGGGACTTGCACAATTACTTGGACAAACAGCTAACAATAATCCTTCGGTATCCAGACTTTGACCGTTCTGAATCCCTTCGCTTCAATCGATAACCACCTCATGGACGACAGCGACCTCTACGGAGCCTTGCTCTACATCGTCCTATACGGAACCTTCCTCCTACTTTCCGGAAAGGTTTTCTACGGATACATCTACGGCGTCGCCGTCTTCGGCACCGTCGCCCTTCACCTCATCCTCAGCCTCATGTCTCCGGCCCTAGACACGGTCCCAGCCGCCAACGCTGCAGACCCTACCAACTACAACCCTCACCACAAACCCTCCATGTCCAACGCCTCAGCGGCCGGCCACTTCTCTGCTACTTTGACCTTCCCTCGCTCCGCTAGCGTTCTTGGCTACTGCTTCCTTCCCTTGGTGCTTACCAGCCTCATTGGTATTCTCATTCCTATGGATACGCTGTTCGGCTACCTCTTGACGACGGCTGCCGTTGGCTGGTGCACGTACAGTTCGTCGGGTATGTTCTGTTCTGTAGCGCGCATGAGTGGCATGAGAGGCCTGGTTGCGTATCCGTTGGCTTTGTTCTATGTGGTTTTCGGTATTATGGGTATTTTCTCTTCGCGCGGTACGGGTTCGTTGGCTGCTAAAACGGGTGCGGCTTGAAACGCAGGTAGATTTGTAGGGGGTATATAAATCCTCTCTACCGCCCTATTGCTCTACTGCCCTGCGAAATTAAAGTCTGTAGGTTAGTGGCTGCAAAGTCTAGGATCCAGCTTGGCCCGGGCTTTGCTTTTAATCATGAATATTATGAAATTCCAGCTGTTATGTATCGTTATGCATTATTAGATCGTCAACCATATCTTCACTCCGGTCCTATGCTATGCGGATCTTCCCTAAATGCAAGTGTAAATGAGAGCCGCATACTAAACGCCCAAAATCACAAGAGTTGACTTGTTGGTTTGTCTAGCTTTGCGTTGGAGCCCATTTTGTTAGCCATTCTCTTGTCTTCTCCAGATCACCACTTGAAGCTTCGGTTCCTGCAATGCACCATGCCAGGTCATATCCTTTGCCCTCCATTCCGGCGCTTTCGGCGGCGATCAATTCGGCCAGGGTTCGACGATGTTGACTTGTCTCATCGGTGCAGAAATAAAAGGGTGCCGTGTTTGGCACATCGGGCTTGATGTTGAGAGCTTCAACAAGAGGACGCGTCACCTTCATGATATCCGCCACGGCCATGGGGGCTGGAGGACCAGATGCATTTTGCTTCTTCTGCTTCGCCGTCTTGCAGTACTCATTTTGACACCAGGGCTTGCCACACCCAGTCATCATCTGGGACAGGTATTTGCGTTCAATACGGCGCCGCAGAGCTTTGCCTTCTGGGTCGTGGGTGTCCACGTATAAAGGTCCGAAACAAAAATTGCATAGACCCAAAGTCTCGTTTCCTGTATTGTTCAATGTACGGCCACAGTTTTGGTTCACGCATACGCGAGGGGTGGGCCGAGATAGGCGCTCTAGTTCGTGATGGCGGAGGTGGGTGTTCATGTCTCGGAGTCGGATGATCTTGTTGCAGAGATGGCATTCGGTAGTGCGTCCTCCATCTACCAGCTCGTGTGGGGTGAGGCCGGAAAGCATCACCTCGGGATCGTGGAAATCAGGATCGGAGTCGCCTTTCTGGGGCACGAGAAGGTGACAAAATTGGCAGAGAATCAACTTTCCTGGACAGTTGCTAGTGCGGTGCTGGGCAAGAGCTGGGAGACCTTCGAGGACCAATTCACAGTCGGGACACTGGTGGTTCGCGTGGAAAATAGTGTCATGTTTTTCTTTGCTCGGGGCGTCGTTGCCATGGCCAGAGTCGTGAGGGCAGTGCCAGTGATTCTGCCATTCTGGAGATCGTTTCTGAAACACGGTCTGGCACTGCGCACAGAGGATATTATTGCGGAGACAGAAGTTCTCGTGCAGAACGAGTGTCCGCTCAGGAACCCATTGCTGGCAGTTCTTGCACTGCACATCGCCGGGCTCGTGATACTCGTTCTCTTGTTCCGTTGGACCAGAAACATCAGATGGGTTCTCTGTAATTCGGATATGATACTGCGAGGGCGACTGCTGCGGCAACTTGGATGACTCATTGCCCGCAGAATCGGCATGAACTGAAATATAGAGGGCCTCGGCGCCTTCCAAGGCCACATTCGTGGGCCGAAGTTGGAACTTCTTAGGCAAATGGCTCGAAAAGTCCCCCCAGACATGCATATCTGCCCTCGGGCGACATTGTTGGCGGGGAGCAAAAGGGCTAGCGAAGAGACTTAGGTCTGGATCATCCGTGGTGAGCTCGATCTGGATGATATCTTCCCGTTTGCAGTCTCGAAGCTCATAATCCACATATTCCCCAGGCAAGACCTGAGCTGTGACATCCTCTCCGAGATTAAGAATACCCCCGATAGAGCTGCCACTGGTCGTACCCGGCGCGCGAGAGGCTTTTTCCAGCCTCTTCTGCAACGTCTCCCGAGCTTGCTCTTCTGATAATGCCACGATATCAACCTCGAGATCAGTATCCACCACACATATTCCTTCGCCTTCGGGGAACACTTTGTCGACCAAGAACCTAAACGACTCGCTCCGCGTACCTTGCACTGTCAGAAGCTCGCCAGTCGTAAGAGTCGTGAAGTTGTCCCGCAGATATCGTTCTAGCAGAGCCTTCCAGTCTTCTGGGTCGTACCCGGCTTCCAGGGGGCGCAGACGGACGTATGTGCCTTTGGGTAGCTGCTTCGCATGCACAGTGACAGCAGGGCCAGTTCGCGGAGGGTTTGCCTCGGTTTCCGGTGACGTAGGGGCCTGTGCCTCTCTATCTATACCTAAGAACTCTTCATCCTTGATATCAAGCGAGTCTCGCAACAGTGCACTTAGTGCGACCTCGCTTTCTTCGGCGGAAAATTCGCGGATGCCGGCGTAGATGAAACGGCCATTCTGGGGATTGACGATTCGGAATGTTAATGGGTGGGGTAGCTGCTGCTGACGTTGCTCGACTTGCTGACGGGCGAATGATTCGGCGGCGAAGGTATGGTGGTTGAATGGGTCGAACGTCGAAGTATGCGCACGATTATTGCTGGGAACAGCTTGAAGCGGGGCGGCAGCTAGGAGCTGTTCAAGTGCGGATTGCGGCAAGATGATCTTGTCGCCTGGTAATCTAGGGGCGCGATCTGGAGGCGCGACCAGAAGCTGAGACGACCAGACTAGATCCATGATGAATATTTACAAGAAAGGCGGAAGTGGGCATTGATATTGTGAGGCGGAGAGAGATAAGTTGATAAGCAATTCTGGAAGACTCCATGCGTATACTTCGACTTCGACTTCCTATGTTCCACGTCTAACTCTCGGTTTCTAGTGGATTATTAAGAAATTAAATCATATTGAAATATTGAAATATGGAAATATGAAAATATCTGTTTAATAAAAGTCACCTCGCATTCGGTGGCGAGAACTGGTATTACACCAGTCACACTGCAGACAGGTTAGTTGGAGCCCTGGAATTAGGGCTAGAGACACTTACCAGTGTGGACGAGCATCCTTCATTGTGCTGAATACAATAATCGCCTTGGCAGCCTTGGCAAGTGTGTTGGCACTCTAGCTTGCAAGAAGCACACTGTAATGGTCAGAGAAACCAAAGGTCTATCAGATGGAATTAACTTACGGTTGGGCCACACTCCCAGCAATCCTTGCTTACACCTCGCTCTTGCAGCTCGCTGTCATGTTGGTCGGAACGAAGGGCTGTCTGGTGCGGTGACAGGGTTACTCGGACACGTTGTGGATGTGGCAGACAGTTGCCACAGAACCACTTATTGCATCGATGGCACCAGCGGTTGGTGAGGCAGTCTGCACACCGAGCAATGAGAACTGGATGTTCCCCCGGAATTGACTCAGGGCGCTTCGCCGCAGCAACATTCGAAGAGTGCAGCGGTGGGGGACTGAGCATCGGGAATTGAACATCTGGGGCTTGACCCCAGATAGCCGGGCCCTCGGGGGAACTGTGGCACCCGTCACAACCGCGGGGCCCGAGAGCTACGGTGGCCACTGCGGGTCCGAGCAACGGCACCTCCACTGGCGAGTTCTCACCTGTGAATAGATTGGCATCGTGTCTCGGGCCGCGACAGAGGGCGGCATCGAAGGCGATGATACCCTCGCACTTTTGGAGCACTTGAGCCCAGCCATCCTCAAGGCTATGCTTGAAGAGCTTTCCTGTTGAACTGTACCACTCATTTTGTTGCTGCTCTACCGAGGGTTCCGATGCTTCCTGATCGGAGACTGAGCGAGTTTGGCTGGGGCTTCGTGTTCCTACACGGGAACCCCACCAATCACGATATCGGGGTCGTGCAACTGGTCGCGGAGCTGCATACATTGGCGAGAAATGATAAATTCCCTTGACTCGTGGCGAATCTGCGGGACGTGTAGGCCGAACGGCATGTTGAATGACCTGCATGAGCTTACGCTCATTGAGATGCTGACATTCGCGAATGGACAGGATATTCACGTTAAAGCGGTCGGTCAAGAGAATCTCGGCCACGAGATCTGCGGGCACCGAAAGACCATCCAAGATGAGGGTGCGTACATCCCGTAGGATGCCTCTGCGCTCGAGACTGCTGAAGATGCGCTTCAAAGGAGCCGCATAGATCTCATCCTCAGTCTGAGAATCGTTTTCCTCTGGCGTGGTGGTAGGAAGCTCGGCACCCCGGCAGCGGGACAGATCAAGATGTCGGAAGACATAAGGAGTCTGTGTGATGACTGTGTGCAGGCGGCGGGACGTTGAGTCCAATGCCATCAAAGATGATACTGACAGATAAGGAGCCATCTGGTCAAGAATCAAATTGTTGCTCAGCAGATCCTCCAGCGAGGTTGATCGAGGTGGCGGTATAGATTGCACTGATACCCGTTCGACAGGTAGTTCGCGCACCACGGGCTCCAAGCCCAGCTCCTTTCGGGTCAACCGACGAGAGCCATAGAAATCGGGGGCACGGCCAATGAGGTCCTGCCTGTAAGCGGCCATGGCACCGACAGCGACCTCATCGCCTAGGAAGCCGAATGGGGAGGCATTGGGTTGGATCTCCTGAAGAGCGGCTCGGGCTTTGACCAGCTCACTCTCCAAGAGATTGATAGTAGTTTGAAGGACGGCAGGCATAGCTTGGGTTCTCTTGGGGTCAATGGCAAGGGCTATAGAAGACCACAGATCGGACATAGTCCGGTACAAGTTATATACTCCAGGAGAAAAAGGTAAAATAAGAAAGGTGGGGAGAGAATAGGTTAAAATGGGAGAGAGTCGGGTAAATATGAGTTGTCAGATTCAGTAAGTATAACGTGGAGACGGAAGACGAGATCCGGGGAGATATGAGTAAACCGATATGGTCAACTCTTCTATTCCCAACAAGGACTGTCGGTCAGCGGAAGGGCCAAATGCAGCAGGTCCGTGATTCTATAGGTCTATATACACTGCCTAGATGTACCTAGTGGACTATGCTAAACCCTTCTCGAACCCAACTTTAATTGTCTAATGGTCTGAAAGATTGTCCTCTTGGCCTGTAAGGGAGAGGATTGGCATTTGGATGGAATACCAGAAAACGACATATGACCAAGTGCCTGGTACATACTCCAAGTATGGGGTGACCCTCAGTGGATCCTGTACCTAGGACAAGGGGGTCAAGTACCTCAATATCAGACGTTGGGAAATGATCCACCGGTCACGCGCATCTCTGGCCGCGTCAGTGTAAGGTGGCAAGTCGTACGAGGAACATGGTTATATTACCCGATATCATAGCCTTATGAGATCTTACTTCTTTCAGGGTCCAGAGCTCAGTCTCTAGAGTCCTTCCTCAACCTTGTACGTGTACACTACACTCTACTGTACTTTACTGTATAGTTCTGGCATTCTTCATTCCTCCTCTTGGCATTAAAAAAAGGAGTCTGCCAAGACGTTAGCTAGGGATCTCGCGGACTGCGATTTCCGCGCCAAGCGAATGCTGGTCCCTGTCTCCCTGAGGATCTACACGGTCCGCAACATCATTGCCAAGTCCTGCTATCGAGGCTGAGCTACTGTATACGCGATTGAGCATAGGCTGATGGGCTGCCAAGTCCTGCGGATGCAGATTGCTTCATCCCTTTCTCCTTTTGATCCCAGGAAAAGCAATTTATCCTGCGGCCAATTTTAGGGCCCGGGTACATCATAGGCCCCAATATTGTACTACCGAAAGATAGTAGTTTCTAGGCAAGTACGCTGCCAAGGACAATAGTTACACCTCTACTCCGTACACCCGAATGGGATTTAGACACGTCGTCACAATGCATTGGGTTTGGGGCGAGAATGATCAGGGTAGGATTAGAACTAGTGATACAATGTCGTCGATCAGATCCACCCCGCTGCGAGGCTTCTCTACTTCCATAGCTTCGATACCGCAACCTCCTTGTCGTCGTGCTTGTTGAGAATCTTGGCAGTGGCCAGATCAAAGTCTTCTTGTGTGACATGCACCCGACGCTCACGCAGTGCATACATGCCTGCCTCGGTGCAGACACCCTTGAGCTCGGCTCCGGAGCACCCGTTCATCTTCTCCGCAATCTTGGTCAAGTTGATACCACGGGTCAGGTTCATCGAGCGGGAGTGGATCCGCAAAATGTCAGCACGAGCTTCGACCCTACATAAATAAGATTAGCATCAGAAAGGGTTGCCAGGGATGGGGGACTGACGATGGTGGGGGGAATTCGATCTTCCTGTCGATGCGCCCAGGCCGAAGCAGGGCTGGATCGAGAATGTCCAGTCGGTTGGTGGCCATGATAATCTTAATGTCCTTCGTTGGCTCGAATCCGTCCAACTGGTTCAACAACTCTAGCATGGTTCGCTGAACTTCAGAGTCACCGCCTCCAGCTGAGTCTATCCGGCTTGAACCGATGCTGTCGATTTCATCCATGAAGATGATACTAGGTGCGTGCTCTCGTGCCATGACGAACAGCTCACGGACCATTCGGCTACCTTCACCAATGTACTTCTGCACCAGCTCTGAACCGCTCACTCGGATGAATCGACAGTCGGTGTGGTGAGCGACTGCTCGAGCGAGCAGGGTCTTTCCGGTTCCTGGTGGGCCGTAGAGCAGAACACCCTTCGGCTGTGCGATACCCAACGACTCGAACAACTCGGGGTGCTTGAGACCCAGCTCGATCACTTCCTTGATTTCCTTGATCTGCTGATCCAGACCACCAATCATGTCGTAAGTACTGTCGGGGACCTTCTCAACCATCATGAGAGACACCAGGGGGTCGACCGAGGAAGGCAGCATCTTCTCCAGCTTGTAGGAGTCAGACAGAAGAGCGACTCGCTTGCCCACGGTGAGCTTGCTAATATCCACACCGTCGGAGATATCCACCACTACAAGTAGACCGTAACGTTAGCATAAGGCGAGTCATCAATGACAATGACATGGAAACCTACCGTATTTCCCCTCCGGGTGTACCTTCACCAGAACCTTCTTGGTGCTCATCACCTTCACCACTTCACCAACGTACGAGCCGGGCTGTTGCAGCAACCCAAGCTCCTCACGCAGTAGACGCACTCTCGAGTTGTAGTCATTGCGCTGGGCTTCTAATCGTCGTAGAACAGCTTGGCCTTGAATAATCTCGAGTTTCATGCCCTCGATCTTATTTCGATAGTAGTTGTCCAAAGCCATGATGGCGAACGGGGTGATGACGCTATGGAGACTCAAGGGCTTGCCCGTCTTTCACGGAGCGGATGCAGCAAAAGAAAAGACCTTTCGTTATCTGTCCAAAAGAGAGTATATCGAGGAAGCGTCTGGGGGATATGGTTCGGGTCGGAGACGAAGAAATTGAAGCTGGGGTGTGGAGAGCTGAGCAGTCCAGCTGTACGTGAAGCTGCGCGCACCTGTTCGCCGCGGCTGACTAAGACAAAATACTCCTCAAAATTCAGGCGCCAACATGCAAACTACACCACCCAGGCAAACAAGACAAACAAGTGCCTCGATCCCCACGGTTGAGAGCTCCCTCGTAGGCTTAGTCACCCGTCAGCTTGATTGGGCGCGGAGCTGCCTGATGATCGGGTCATCAGCAGGAGAAAGTACAAAGCGCAAGAAGGCAACGGTCAAAGTGCCATTCTCCTCTTCTTATTACTCTCGGGCTCTGTCCTGGCCCTGACCCTGTATGCATCTCAGCTAATGGAACTTTCATCTTTCGAGTTTTGTGTTTCGATTAGATCTACTTGAACGATGTCACTGGAGATTCCAAGTGTTTAGTCGTTTTTACTTGCTTTTGACACCGCATCTTTTGTGTCTTTGAATCTGTGTTTGTTTGTTGTCTGTGATCTTGCCAAATCACTTGGCAATGGCGGATAAAGGGAACACTGACTCTTCCGAGTCAACGCGACCATCTGCAGCAATGGGAAGTGAGACCCCGACCCCCAGGGCGGTTCCTCCAGTGAGATCATCTGCACCTGGTCGGAGAACATACGGTACGTTCGTCTTGGTGTAACCTGTGGCCATGACTTGAGCTGATCCAGATTTGCAGGTACACTCGATTCGTCTTCACTTGAAGCGACAAATCCAGAGGCGCGTCTCGATGACGGCCAAGAAGAAACGATGAGTCGCGTATTCACAAACCAATCGTCTGCCGACCCCGATAGACCTCGCAAACCATCGGTCTCGCGACGCATGTCTTCCAAGCGTCAAATCCCCCACAAGGGGCAGGAGTTCTCGACGGACGATGATGTCTCCGAGGTCCACCAATACATGGCCATGAAGGGCCCCAATACGCAAACATCCCCAAGAATACGCCCCTTGCGAACGCAAAGCTCGACCCTCAGGCGACGTCTCAGTGCTCGGCCCAGTCCCCTTGCGAGAGGGGAGTCAGAGAGTTACAATCCAGATGACAGCGGGTTGCCCGATCCCGGGTTAGATGTCGACGAAGAAATCCCTTCTTTTAGCCAGGCTGATGAGAATAGTGGGATGGATAGTGATGATGATGAGGTCACCGAAACGTTGGAAGATGATGAAGACGCTGCCAGTGACGCGGAGAGCTTCACCCTCAAAGATCGTCAGCAAGCCATCAACGAAACTCACCCATTTGGTATCAGGATCTGGAAGCCTGCGTTGTATAAAAAGAGTCGCTCTGTAGAGAAGACCGCCGAGGGAGATATTCACTCTTCACCAGGCGGCCGTGTCAGTCCCATGCTGTTCTTGACTAACTTGTTGTGGTCTTTGTTCTTTGGATGGTGGCTTGCCCTTGTTGCTCTTCTGGCTGCGGTTGCATGCTTTTTCTTTGCCTACTCATCGAGTGCTATGGCATACGGAAGAGTATTTGCGGGTCTTTCACGATATCTGCTCTACCCCTTTGGGTCGTTTGTCCTTCTAGAGACCGACGAGCATTATGCCGAAGAGGACGAAGGCGAGGGACGCAGTATCAGCGAATATGAGCAATGGCAGAATGGAGATCTAGAACATGGCCGTCTGTTCTTTGGGCCTCGCAGGGATCGATCACTCGTCGGCAGACGAAGGAACAGCGTCGATTCAGCCGGTGAGCAGGACAGTCTGCTCGGACGACCCCAACGTGGACAGCATGATGACTTTCAGTTGGCCCACTCTAAACGTCGCCTTTTCGGGCGTGGCGAATGGACCTTGGGTCGGGTCGTCTTCTTCGTGTTCTTCTATTTCCTCGTCGGACCACTGATGCTTCTGGTGTCGCTCACCTGCTGGCTGCTGGTTTTCTGGATTCCCATGGGGCGCGTCACGATCACTCTAGTGAGCCATCTACGCAGGCACCCTTTGGCGCTGTCCTTCCATTCCGATACCACCTATGCTAGATCGAGCACTACTTCCTCGTCTTCAATCCTGCTCTGCACCTACCGAGCAGCGGGAACCAGGTACTGGAAGTACACTGTTGATGGAACGAACATCTTCCTGATCAACTTGCTTGGTGTGGTCGTCTTTGTAATCGTCGACTATTTCTTCCTTGGGAAATTCTTGGGCCTGGAGAACTGGATCACGCATCCGGGGCTAATATTCACTCTGGCTCTGCTTTCCATCATCCCTCTGGCCTACTTCATTGGGCAAGCCGTCGCCTCGATTTCTGCACAGTCTTCGATGGGCCTGGGTGCTGCCATCAACGCTTTTTTCTCCACTGTTGTAGAAGTGTATCTGTATTGTGTTGCCTTGACCGAAGGTAAAGCTCAGCTTGTTGAGGGAAGCA